GTATATATGTATATATGTATATATATTATATAATATATATATATATATATATATATATATTAGTTGTTTACATTTGTGTGTGTATATCTTTGTCTTTGTATTTGTTTATTTTATTACTATTTATTATTATTTTTTATTATTAATTATTATTATTATTTATTATTATTTATTATTTATTATTATTAATTATTATTAATTATTATTAATTATTATTAATTATTATTATTTGTGTGTCTCCTTGTTATTTGTTTACATTAATAAATTTATTTGCTCGTCTTTGTCTTCATTTAATTATTTTTCTTTGCTTTATATCTCAATTATCTTAACTAACAAAATATAAAGAGCTGTCTGGACACCCCAATTAACCCCCAGCCCCACAGCAGCAGCTGCAGCGGCTGCAGCAGCTGCTGCAGCACTACAGCAGCTGCAGCAGCAGCACAGCACAGCAGCAGCTGCTGCAGCTGCTTCAACTGCAGCTTCACATCTGTGGTTTCGCTGCCAATGCTGCTGCTGATGTTGCTACTGCTGCCGTGGTTGTTATTGCTTCTGCTGCTGTTGCTGCTGTTGCTGCTGTTGCTGCTGTTGCTGCTGCAGCAACAGCAGCAGCAGCAGCTGCCAAAAATAGTGCAGCCATAATGCCTCAGGCCGGGTGTATATATCTACAAATTGAGTTTTGGGGAGCCCTCAGGGCGATGTGGGTCAGCTGCAGAAGAGTGCTGCTGCTGCTGCTGCTGCTGTTGCTGCTGCTGCTGCTGTCTCGGTTGTTGTTGTTGCTGCTGCTGCAGCCTCTCAGCGAATTGCATCGGCTGGTGCAGCAACAAAAGACGTGTATCATGAAGTTGAGGCTTATGTTCCTGCTTCAGCTCGTGTTGCTGCTGCTCGTGCTGCTGCTGCTGCAGCTCCTGCTGCTGCTGCTGCTGCTGCTGCTGCTGCTGCTTGCTGCTGGCTGATAAAGTGTTTCTTCTGGGTTTCTTTCTTGCTCTCATATAGCATGCATTGCAGACAGGCAGACCCTCAAGATATCGCCACTGTGGGGTTTGCTTCGCTCCGCAGTTGCTGCAGCAGCTGGGGCCCCTTCTGCTGCTCTGTCGCTGCGAGGGAGCAGCAGCAGCAGCAACACGCTTCTTTGCTGCTGGCTTGCCAGCAGCAAACCCTCGCTGCTGCACAGCAGCAGCTGCTGCAGACACACTCGAGCACGAGCCGTCGTTGCTGCCACCGCCAAGTCCTGCTGCTGCTGCTGCTGCGGATGTGGATGGAGCTGCAGCAGCAGCAACCGCAGCAGCAGCAGCAGCAACTGGGCACTGCTGCTGCAGGGACCTGCAGCCAGAGGAGTTTACTGAATATCCTTCTTCCCAGCAGCCGCAGCTGCTGCTGCTCGGGGCGTTGCCGACAGTCTGATGCTGCTGCTGCTGCTGCTGCATCCAGCAATGTAGCTGCTGCCTCAGCTTACGACTTAACTGAGGCTCCGCAGGGACATCACAAGAATCCCAGCTGTAGCGCCGCTGCAGCAGCAAATGCTGCTTCTGCTTCTGCTGCTGCTGCTGCTGCTGCTGCTGCTGCTGCTGCTGCTGCTGCTGCTGCTGCTGCCAGTGCGTGTGCTGCAGCTGCTGGGCAGCGCTGCCAAGAGAAGCAGCGTCGGGATCGACTGGAGACGCCGCAGCAGCAGCAGCAGCAACAGACTGGAAGACTGGCTCTAGAGCTGCTGCTGTTGCTGCTGCTCCGCTGCTGCGGCGCTGCAGCGCAAGCAGCAAATCCTCAGTTCTAGGCCCTGCTTCCTCAGTGAAAGTTTCTTGCAGCAACCGGGCCTCTTGCTGCTGCTGCTGCTGCTGCTGCTGCTGCTGCTGCTGCGCCACCTGCTGCTTCTGCCGACCTTCCTTCAGCTCTTGACAAAGACGCCCCAGTGCCCTCCTTGGGGGGCTTGGATTCATTTTGCTGCTGCCTGCTGCTGCTGCTGCTGCAGCTGCTGCTGCTGCTGTCTCTCCAGCTTTTGGGGTGTCTTCGCCGTGATGATTTACATCGGAAGGCAGCAGCAGCAACAGTAGACGCAGCAGCTGCTGCTGCTGCTGGCGGAGTGTTGCAGGTGCTACGCGCTGCTGCTGCTGCTGAAGCTGCTGGAGTTGCAGCAGCTGCTGCAGCTGCTGTTGTACCTGCTGCTGCACCTGCTGCTGCTGCTGCTGCTGCTGCCGCTCCGTCATCTTCGAGAGACGCGGCGACGCGCATGAGTCTACTGCTGTCTTAACTTCCTGCTGCTGCTGCTGCAGCTGCAGCTGCTGCAGCAGCTGCTGCTGCCGGGGTGTGGGCGACTGGCTCTGCAGATGAAGCTTCCCTCCAGCGAAACTTGCTGCTGTTGCTGCTGCTGGTGTTGCTGCTGCTGCACTGGTGCTGCTGACCCGAGGCCCTTCCGCTTGTCTTTGAGCGGATTGTCTCCTCGGGCTTCCTTCCGGTGCTGCTGCTGCTGCTGCTGACGATTTCGTTTCTGTTACTTCTGCTGCTTGAGCAGCACATGATGGTGCTTCTTCTGCTCCTGTTGTTGCTGCTGCTGCTGCTGTTGTTGTTGCTGCTGCTGTTACAGCTGCAGCAGGAGGATGTCTTTGATCTTGTCGTGGGAGGCTGCTGCTGAATAGCAGCAGCTCCCTACCAAGTGCAGCAACTGCTTCAGAATCTGTTACTGCTGGTAGTGCTGCCGAAGCATCTGCTGCTGCTGCCGTTGCTGCTGCTGCTGCTGCTGCTGCTGCTGCTGCTAGGGGTCTTGTGCTGCGCGGTGGCTGCACAATACCTCTACTTTGAATATCCTTACCTTCCATTGTTGACTAGGAGCAGCAGGAGCTGCTGCTGCTGCTGTTTTTTGCCGTTGGTGCTGCTGTTGCTGCTGTTGCTGCTGCTGTCAGCCGTCTCAGCTGCTGCTGCTGCTGCGCTGCTGCTGCCACATATGGCGCTACGCTGCAGCTGCAGCATACAGGGAGTCCGGTGGAGCTTCCTAGAGTCTTCTGCTGCTGTTGCTGCTGCTGCTGCTGCTGCTGCGCAGAAGCCTAGGCAGCCTGAGCAGCGGGCAAGGATGATCTGCGCGAGATCTTCGTGCTTGTCACAGTCTGCGCTGCTGCTGCTGCTGCTGTTGCTGCTGTTGTTGCTGCTGCTGCGGTTGCTGCTGCAGCTTGTGCTCGGAAGGCGCTGCGGGCAGTTGTATTAGAGATAGGAGGGGGTACAGCTACGAATCTGCTGTATATTGCTGCTAGCTGCAGCAGCAGGCCGCATAGATCTGCCGCATCAAGCAGGTCAGTTTGGTGTTGCTGCTGTTGCTGCTGTTGCTGCTGCTGCTGCTGCAGTCGTGCGGAGTGAGGCCCGCACCCGGCGGCGGGCGTATCCGGCGGCAGCAGGAGCGGCAACAGCAGCAACAGGAACAGCAGCAGCAGCAGCAGCAGATCCACCTTCAATCTGCTGCATAAAAACGTTCCTGCGCTATATTTCTGCTGCCTCCGCTCTGAGGGGGTTTGTTACAGCTCAGTCGCTGGTAAGGCGAAGACGCCCGTCAGATGAGCCCCCAACGGCCTCGGCAGCAGCAGCAGCAGCAGCAGCAGCAGCAGCAGCAGCAGGCGCGACCTTCTGCAGCAGGTCTTTATCATAATTGCAAATAAGCATGACTAATTAAAACTTATACGTTTTTTTATTATTCTTCGCCTTAAAAGACTTCCTATTGCCGTCTCAACTCCTCAGCAGGATGGGGGGCCCCCAGCAGAGCGAGCATCTGCTGCTGCTGCTGCTGCTGCTGCTGCTGTTCCTGCTGCTGTTGCTGCTCTGCCAAGGGGGCCCCATTAGAAGCATGAAGCTCAGCAGCAGCAGCTTATTTTTGATTGCATTTGATGCTGTTGCATTATATTTTTCTTTAAAAGAATAATAAATAAACAAACAAACAAACACAACAAACAAATATATGCATGCATACACCGGGGTCACTTACATCGGCGGTAGGGGGGGGGCCCCCCAAAGAAAGAGCTAAAAGACATTAAAAACTTGAATAAAACAAGTTAATAAATATATTTTTAAGTATATATATTTATCTATTTAAACCCTAAACCCGTTCATAGTCTATATACACACAAACTCACCTCTTTATTGACTCAAAACCTAGGGGCCCCTCAACTCAATCCTTAGGGGCCCCTCAACTGAACCCTTAGGGGCCCCCAATTGAACCCTTAGGGGCACCCAGGGTTTACTTAGGGGCCCCCTAAGTAAACCCTTACGGGCCCTTCAACTGAACCCTTAGGGGCCCCTCAACTCAACCCTCGGGGGCCCCTCAACCCTTAGGGGCCCCTCAACTCAACCCATAGAAACCCCCAAAGGGGGCCCCTAACTGAACCCTTAGGGGCCCCTTAACTGAACCCTTAGGGGGCCCTCAACTGAACCCTTAGGGGCCCTAAATTAACCCTTAGGGGCCCCCTAAGGGGGCCCCTCAAATGAACCCAACCGAACCCTTAGGGGCCTCCTAAGTAAACCCTTAGGGGCCCCCTAAGTAAACCCCTAGGAACCCTGGGCTTAGCAGGTTTTAAAGGCAGCAGGAACAGCAGCAGGCTACGAGTGGTGCAGCAGCAGATGCTGCTATTGCTGAACCTATTGCTGCAGCAATTGCTGCTGCAGCAGTTCCTCTTGCTTCTAGAAAGCCTCAGCAGAAGCAAACACTCAGAGACAGAAAACCCCTTATCAATCGATACACTGTAATTAAAATAAGGAGACCAACCCCACACCTCCGGGGGATATAAACCCACGCTCCCCCTGCTAGCTAGCTAGCTGGCTAGCTAGCTGTGAGCTAGCTAGTTAGGTAAGTGCGAGATAGCTAGCTAGCTAGCTAGCAAGCTAGCTAGATGTGAGCTAGCTAGCGAGCTAGCTAGCTAGCTGTGAGCTAGCTGCAGGCTACATAACAGCTAGGCGATGGCTTCCTCGAGCTCGCTGCAGCTAACAGCTGGATAGCTGCTAGGCAATTGCTAGCTAGCTGTAGCTAGCGGCTAGCTAGGTGTAGCTAGCAGCTAGATAGCCCCTAGCTAACCGTAGCCAGATGCTAGCTAGCGAAGGCGGAGGCCCTGCGTAGGGCTGGGAAGAAATACCCCAGAAAAAGAGGCATGCTGCTGCTGCTGCAGGTGCTGCTGCTGCTGCAGGTGCTGCTCCTGCTGCAGGTGCTGCTCCTGCTGCTGCTGCAGGTGTGTGCGTGTCACGGCTTTAGTTTGAGGGGTTCCAAGCCCCACCCCTCGCCTGCATGCACTAAACAAAATGCATGCACTCAATGCATGCATGCAATGCATGCACTCAATGCATGCATGCACTCAATGCATGCACTCAATGCATGCATGCATGCAGTAAATACATGCACTCAATGCATGCATGCATGCAGTAAATGCATGCAGTCAAGTCAGTGCATGCATGCATGCAGTAAGTAGAATAATTCATTTGCTTGCAGTAGGCAGCCATATGTGTGGGGTTTTCTCGGGGTGTATACGCAGCTCGAGGTACTGCTGATGCGCATCTTTAATCAGCTTCCAGGCCTCTGCAGGACCCAGCAGCTTTCCTTTATACCCCAGACAGTTTGCTGCTGCAGCAGGGCTATTTGCTGCTGCTGCAGCTGCAGCAGCAGCAGCAGCAGCAGTAGCTCTTGCTGCTGCTGCTGCAGGATCTACTGCTCCTGGAGCAGCTCTACCAAGAGCAGGATTTCTTGCTGCTGCTACTGCAGCAGCAGCATCCGCAGCAGCAGCAGCAGCAGCAGCATCGGTAGGAGCATCGGCAGCAGCAGGCACCGATTTATAGTAGCAAAACCACTGCACAAGAGATTGAAGGAAGCCAGGCCTATGAATATTAATATCATCTAATGCATGCAAAGCCCCAAACAAGGGTGATGCTCTCGATACAACCAGCACTTTAAAGTCTGCTTCTCCTTTGTCTATTAAAGGGATAGCCCCCAGCACCTGAACAAAACAACTTACTCAATAAACAAGTCATAGAATTATTATAGTATATATATGTAATTATTTAATATATGTATATATACAGTATAATATTGTATATGTACATACACATTATAACATATATATAATGTAAATATATATACATATATATGTTTATATATATATATATATACATATATAAATATATATATATATATATATATAACTTAACAAACAAACAAATATATTTACAAGATAATAAACATATAAAAAGCAAACAAATACAATAAAATAATAAACACAAAAATATATACGCAAATACAACAATAAACAAACAAGAATAAAAATAATTAAATATACTTATTAAACATATTTAATAAATAAATAAATAAAATAATAAACAAATAAAAATATCAACGTATGAAAAAACATACAAATAAACAAATAAATAAAATAATGAAGAAACAAATAAACAAATAATAAACAAATAATAAACAAATAATAAACAAATAATAAACAAATAATAAACAA